AGTTGTAGACCATTGAAAAAAGGTCTACTTTTCAAAAATAAATGTGCAGTAAACCATTATTAAATAATTAAAGGTCTTAGCGGAGTAAGCAAACAAAATCTGCCCCCGCTCAAAAAAAATTTAAAATTCTTGTTACTTGTTGGAAGCATTAAGAAAAAATTTTTCACTAAATATTTTTTCAAAAAATGCATTTTTATAAGAGTTATGGAGGGGGAAAGGAAAAACAGAAATTTGTTTTTTTCGATTTTAATGAAATTTATAATGTGTTTTATAAATTAAAAAGAGGAATTAAAAAAAATTTCAATAAATTTTGCCCACAAAAAACCAAAAAAAATTTTTTGAATTTTCAAAAAAATTTTTTTTGGTCTTATTTTGGAGATACTACTTTGAAATTTTTACAAAAAATTCTCTGAAATGTGTACTTTTAAGAAATATTTTTGTTAATTTTTTTAATTGGGTACCACATAGTGAAAAAAATTAAAATCCTAGGTGGCGCATCATTCCGGCTGAAGCACAATGTATCCAGTAACTAATTATTTTTCAATTTGCTTGAAATTTAGTAATTATGTGTTTCTGGGGTCACTCATTATGAATGTAATGTTAGATTTTCCAAATTCAAAATGACGGATCCAATATGGCGGACGACTTTTTTTAAAAATTCACCGTATTCGCTTTAAACTTGTCACTCGGGAGTTTTTGAGGTCGCTGAATACAAATATAATGTTAGTTTTTCAAAATTCAAAATGACGGTTACGAAATGGCAGACGACTTTTTGAAAAATTTATCGTATTTGCTTGAAACTTGTCACTCTGGGGTTTTCGGGGTCTCTGATGACGAATTTAATGTTAGTTTTCAAAAATTATTAATGCAGATTCATTATAGTGGAGGATATGCGCAAAATTTTTTGAAATTTTTTTAAAAAGTTCCTCTCATTACTTTATAAAGGCGCTAGCACAGCTCCTACTGCCTGCAGGTTGACATGGTAACACATAAGAGTAAGAGAATCAGAAAATTCAAATTAAATGTTTTTTCTCTCTCACTCTTATGGCGCCTGCCTGCGCAGGCAGGCAGGCAGTGAGGTGAGAGTGTACCTTCAAAGGCCATACTAGGATAACTATATGTGTTAGCTGCCCCGCCCGGATAATAATAACAATTTAACATAATTGTCTAATTTTGTAAATAATAAATTATTTAAACAAATTAAAATTATAAACAAAATTTAAACTTTAACCTCAATAATAATTTGGTTCCTATTTAAATACTATTATACTTCTTACTATGAATAAAAAATTATTAAAAAATTACCACGTAATTTAAGAATCACGTAAAATGTTAAATGCAATAAGTAAAGTAATTTAATTTAATTATTAAAAATTTAGTTTAATTTGTTTGATTTCAATTTATCATTTCTAACGTATCCCTATTTTTTTCTTATCTTTGACTCAATAATTGTATGTCTGAATGATACTGAGATATTAATACTTTACTGTACACATGTGTCGTTAGCATAGTGGTTAGAGTGTTAGTCTGTTAGTTCGTAGGTCGTAGGTTCGATTCCCCTCGTCAGCAATTTTGTTTATTTTCATAGGTTTGCGATATTTCTAGATTCCAATCGTTAGGTACTAAAATATGAAAATCTAATGCACACTTACTGTAATTGTTTATTATTTAATTTTTAAATGTTATAAACAATTTTTTCTACTTCATTTACTATATCCATTGTTAGTCTCCATCTTTAATACAATTTCTTTAAGAAGAGAAATATTTTATAAATAATAACTATTTATTAATATTATTTACCATTTTGTTGTTAAATTATTTATAATTATGAATTTACGACTAATTAATAACAATACGGCATTTATTGTGGCAATATCCCACATAGCACAATAGTATGAGGTAAGGTTATGTTGAATACTAATCGTAAGGCTCATAAGGTTACACGATATTGCTGTGGTAGACCTGAGGTGAACTAAAAACTTCCGCCATGGAGGTAAGGTTACATGTTAGAGTGTGGTAAGTATATATGATAAGGCTATGGTAACCTTACACGTTAAGGTTGAGATAACCTTACACGTTAAGGTTGATGTAACCTTACACGTTAAGGTTGAGGTAACCTTACACGTTAAGGTTGAGGTAAAGTTACACGTTAAGGTTGAGGTAAAGTTACACGTTAAGGTTGAGGTAACGTTACACGTTAAGGTTGAGTTAAGGTTATATGTCAAGGTTAAGGTAAGGTAATTATTAAGTTGTAAGGTTGAGGTAAGGTTAAGGTAAGGTTGTGATAAGTTTACCAGTTATGGAAAATATTGACAAAATAATTAATAATATAATAAATAAATATTAAATTAGAAAGTTAAGTTTGTTGCTCTTCTCTATTTTGGAAACCTGACATGAAGCAGAAAATTTTGAAAACAAATTTGGGGGGACTGGGATTCGAACCCGGGATCGACGCGCATAAACCTAACATCCTAACTAACTGAGCTAAGTGGAGAACTGGTAGCAAGAAAATTAATTTTGCCTTTAAGGAGTTAATCATATTCTTGGTTCACCTTAAAGGCAAAATTGATTTTCCTTCTGACAGTTCTGTACTTAGCTCAGTTAGTTAGAATGATTGGTTTATGCGCGTCGATCCCGGGTTCGAATCCTAGTCCCCCCAAATTTGTTTTCAAAATTTTCTGCTTCATGTCAGGTTTCCAAAATAGAGAAGAGTAGGTAACAAACTTAACTTTTTAATTTAATATTTATTTATTAATTATATTATTAATTATTTTGTCAATATTTTCCATAACTGGTAAACTTATCACAACCTTACCTTAACCTTACAACTTATTAATTACCTTACCTCAACCTTGACATATAACCTTACCTCAACCTTAACATGTATAACGTTACCTCAACCTTAACGTGTAACGTTACCTCAACCTTAACGTGTAAGGTTACATCAACCTTAACGTGTAAGGTTATCTCAACCTTAACGTGTACGGTTACCATAGCCTTATCATATATACTTACCACACCCTAACATGTAACCTTACCTCCATGGCGGAAGTTTTTAGTTCACCTTAGGTCTACCACAGAAATATCGTGTAACCTTATGAGCCTTACGATTAGTATTCAACATAACCTTACCTCATACTATTGTGCTATGTGGGATTCTTAGCCAGCACTGATCCAGTGCTGCGTCAGCGCTGTCTGGCAGCACTGGCAGGCAGTACTTCGCCAGCGTTAGACAGCGTTATCATCCCATAGTTATGCCAGTGCTGGCGCATTACTCCGACAGTTGTAAATTTCCTATTGGGGAGTTATGGGGGTAAGAAGAAAAATAAAAAAACTCGATTTTTTTGAAAACGGCTGAACCGATTTTTATGAAATTTAAATATGTTATGGCTTTCGTTGAGGCTTTTTGAAAAAAAATATAAATTTTTTGTTTCAGAAAATAAGGTTAAAAAAAGATTTTCAAAATTGTTTTGAATTTTTTTTGGGCAAAATTTTATGAGTACTACCGCTATTTTGTCTAAATAATCCTTACATGTACTAGAATTATTAACTAAAGTGCCAAAAAAATTGAAAGTGTAGAACACGGTCAAAATTAACAATGATTTTCGGGCTGGATCAAAACGGATACCAGATTCGTGTTCATAATACATATGGGTAGGGGTACTCTGATCTCCCAACCCCGACCATTTTGTTTTTGTGGTGCTGTGTTATACAAGGTTATGAGTGCATGCTCCCAACCATTGTTAATTTTGACCGTGTTATACACTTTCAATTTTTTTGGCATTTCGGTTAATAATTCTAGGACATGTAAGGATCATTTAGAAAAAAATGGCGGTAGAACTCAAAAAAAATTTTTTACCCTTATTTAAAAAAAAATGCTCATATCCTCCACCATAATGAATCTGCAATTTAAAATTTTTGAAAACTAACATTAAATTCGTCATCAGAGACCCCGAAAACCCCCGAGTGACAAGTTTCAAGCAAATACGGTGAATTTTTCAAAAAGTCGTCCGCCATATTGGATCCGCCATTTTGAAAATCTAACATTCCATTCGTAATGAGTGACCCCAGAAACACATAATTATTAAATTTCAAGCAAATTTAAAAATAATCACCCTCACAGCACCGAAACTTTCCTAGAAATTTATTAAAAATTTACTTGCAATGTTCTGAATATGTAATTGCAATGTTTATTGAAAGCTGTGTAAATATTTAAATGTCCCGATTAAATAAATGTTTAGCGCGAAACTTTCCTGAACATTTAAATTACATTTTCGCCTGATTATAATTATAATTAGGCGAAAATGTAATTTAAATGTTCAGGAAATTTTCACACTAAACATTTATTTAATTGGGACATTTAAATCTTTACACAATTTTTACTAAACTTTTCAGTTAAATATGCCGAATATTGCAAGTAAATATTTAATAAATTTTTAGGAAAGTTTCGGTGCTGTGGGGACAGTTTTTGGATACATTGTTCTTCAGCCGGAATGATGCGCCACCTAAGATTTTATTTTTTTTCACTATGTCAACGAGTTTCACTCGTTTTTTTGGTAATTATTTTTTCAAAATAGCACAGAAAATTCAAAAATATAAATTTATTTTTATCGACGAGCGATCAGATTTTGGTCTTTTGTATATAAAATCAGCAGAAAAAAAGTTTGATGAAAAATAATCATTTGGAACTAAGAAAATGGTACCTAAAAATAGGCACATTTGATTTTTGGGATTATACAAATGCTCTTTCCCCCCTAAATAAATAAATTGAAACTGAATAACTAAACAATTAAATTGACACTGAATAAATAAATTAATAAATTGTCTACTTGACCCTAAATATAACTAAATAAATAAGTTTCATGTTAATTAAGAAAAGTAATAATAATAATAATAATAATAATCCTAAATAATAAATTTAGTTTTAAAATATTAAATTTGGGATTTAATTTAAGATTATCAAAAATAATAAAAACAAAGTTTTTTTAATTTTCTTTCAGGAAAGTGTCGATACACCACTAGTTGAGCGTAGAAAAAATTGGCTGCAACGAACAATAACACGAATGGGATCTGTTCGTAGCTCAACGACAACATACAGCAGTGGCGGTGGATTTTTTTCACGAAATCGTCACAATAGTGTTTACAGTAGTCCCGAAACAGGTGGACTGCCAGCAACAAATAATCCCAAAATTTCCCTTTACGATCGTCTCGTGGGACGAAAAAGCGTTCGACCCATGGGTCGTCAAGGTATTAAAACTGAAAATATTATTATTAATATTGTTACTACTTTTTCAAATTATTTTTAATTATTTTCAATTAATACCTACTAATTAATAATTCCTACAATTATAATTACCTTAAATTGCAACGATAAGAATTACATTCAAATGGAAAAATTGTCTGAAGAAAATAAAAAAATAAATTTTGTAATAAAAATTTAAAATAAAAAACGCATCTTTTTTTCGAAACAGGAACCCTGACGAAATTGCAGGCAGTGCCGGTGTCATTAAAAAATCGACCCCGAATTCCAACGCCCGACGTGACAAAGGAAGTGGTGGATCGTGAGCAGAGATTGGCAATTTCCGCGAATAATGCAGCCAATATTGGCGCCGGTGTTGTTGGCGTGATACCAACCAACTACACAACGGATCTTTCGCTCGTGGTACTGTCGCCAATTCATGAGAACGAGGGAACGCCGGTTTCGGGCAAAAGCGGAACTGCCGCACTCGCGCAAGCCGTTTTAACACCAAGTTTAACTGGCGCCGGTCTCGTCACATCGGGAACATTGCCCGGAACATTTATCCCCGTGACAATGAGCCAATTATCGCAGCTTGGAATTGTCACAACAACATCAATGTCACGTCCACCAATTCAGGGCGTTGAGCATCACGAGAAACGACAGGCCACACTCACTGAGGTGAATTTTTCAATTTTTCAATTATTTTCAATTATTTCGAAAGAAAAATTATTTTTTTCTATTTCTATTGTTTTTTATTCGATCCTTTTATTTAAACTGGTTTATTGTTTTTATTTTGCATTTTATTTTGATAAAGAAAAATACAAAAAACAATATAAACGACAAACAAAAGAAAATACAAAAGAACGAAATAAGAAACAAAATTGCAAAAAACAAAATAAAAGCCAAATGAACAAAAAAAAAACAACAGAGAACAAAAAATACGGAAATACCAAAACTATAGAAATGCCAAAAATACCATAATATGCAGAAATACTAAACAATACAGAAATACAAAAAAATAGGGAACTAACAAAAATACAGAAATACCAAAAATACTAAAAAAACATCAAAAAATACAGAAATACAATTTTATTGTACTTTTATTGTTTGCAGTTTTTTACTGAACATAAAAAAATACAGAAATATAAAAGTCCAAAAAAAAGGAAACAAAAAATACCGAAATACCAAAAATACTATAAAAACAAGAATACCTTAAATTAAGAAATTCTGAACAATATTGAAATGCAGAAATACGAAAAAATACGGAACTAACAAAAAAACAAAAATACTAAAAATGATAAACACAAAAAATGCAGAAATACAAAAAAATACCAATCGTACAAAAATACAGAAATGGCAAAAGCACTATAAAGACAAAAATACCAAAAAATATAGAAATGCAAAAAAATATGGGCATACCAAAAATATTTAGAAATACAAATACAATCGGAACTAACGAAAATTCAGAAATACCAAAAATGGTGTAAAAACAGAAATACCATAAAATACAGATATACAAACAAAATACGGAACTAAAAAAAATACAGAAATACCAAAACATACATAAATAAAAAATAGGTAAATACCCAAATATACGGAACGTACAAAAATACAGAAATAGAAATAATACTAAGAAGACAAAAATCCAAAAAAAAGATAAATATAAAAATACAAAAAGATAGAGAAATACCAATAATAATTACTAAGAAGGCAAAAATACCAAAAAATACAGAAATCACTCTTATTATATTAAGTTAGAGAACGACCGACCGACCGACCGACCCCAGCCGTATATATATGTATATCTTTTAAAAACAATATTAACACATGTATATGTTACGGTTAAAGTGCGAAGTCTGGTGAATGTCCACATTTACCGGGCTTTTTGGTAAGTGTGAATAATCTATCATTCACAGAAGAAATTATGTACATTTCTCAAGTAAATTGGTGATTGTACACATTTACCAACGTTACCCTATTGAAAATCCCCATACGGGAAACCACATGGGAAACCACATGGGATCCTATGTCAAAAACCATGTAAAACCATATGGGAAATTGAGACAGGATTTTAGTTAGGAATAGACATGGGGAATTTGAACAGTTCATCTATGCATAAAACCATATCAAATCCCACATGTTTTTCCCAGTCAAATCCTAAACCGAATCCCATGTGAAAAACAGTATCATTTATTTATAATTATTTTCCCAAGTCAATCCCCAAGTGAAAAACAGTATCATTTATTTATAATGATTTTCCCATGTCAAATCCTAAACCAAATCCCATGTGAAAAACATTATCCGCCTTATTGAATATCCCTACGGGAATCCACTTGGAATTTTACAAGGGATTTCACATAGTATTTTATATGGGAATTGACATAGGATTTCATGCAAGATTTCACCTAGGATTTAATGAGATATCACATAGTATTTTATTAAAGATCCAATGAAGAAATTTTCAAAGGATTAAAAATTATTTAATAAAAAATTAAATAATAAATAGTATTAGTGTTACAAGTCATCAAAAAAGTAAAAAAACGATCATTTGAAACACGTCCTCTCTGCTACAGGTTCTCAGCTTTTATATACTTCCAGAATCGTCTCAACAGCGAGAGAAGTCACTTTCGCCACCTAGCGGTGAAAGTATAGGAGCGACAGTAATCTTTAACATTACTAAGGAAACCATGTGGAATACCACGTAGGATTCCATGTGGTTTCCTACGTGGGGATTTACATGGGATTTTACTTAGGAATTTAAGTAGAAATAAATTCCCAAATGAATTCCTAAGTAAAATCCCATGTAAATCCCCACGTAGGAAACCACATGGAATCCTACGTGGTATTCCACATGGTTTCCTTAGTAATGTTAAAGATTACTGTCGCTCCTATACTTTCACCGCTAGGTGGCGAAAGTGTTTTCTCTCGCTGTTGAGACGATTCTGGAAGTATATAAAAGCTGAGAACCTGTAGCAGAGAGGACGTGTTTCAAATGATCGTTTTTTTACTTTTTTGATGACTTGTAACACTAATACTATTTATTATTTAATTTTTTATTAAATAATTTTTAATCCTTTGAAAATTTCTTCATTGGATCCTTAATAAAATACTATGTGATATCTCATATTAAATCCTAGGTGAAATCTTGCATGAAATCTTATGTCAATTCCCATATAAAATCCTATGTGAAATCCCTTGTAAAATTCCAAGTGGATTCCCATGTAGGGATATTCAATAAGGCGGATAATATTTTTCACATGGGATTTGGTTTAGGATTTGACATGGGAAAATAATTATAAATAAATGATACTGTTTTTCACTTGGGGATTGACTTGGGAAAATAATTATAAATAAATGATACTGTTTTTCACATGGGATTCGGTTTAGGATTTGACTGGGAAAAACATGTGGGATTTGATATGGTTTTATGCATAGATGAACTGTTCAAATTCCCCATGTCTATTCCTAACTAAAATCCTGTCTCAATTTCCCATATGGTTTGACATGGGAAACCACATGGTAAACCACGTGGTTTCCTTCATGGAAGTAGGGTTTTACATGGTTTTTGACATAGGATCCCATGTAGTTTCCCATGTGGTTTCCCATATGGGGATTTTCAAAAGGGTAGTTAGTAAATGTAGAAATTGAAAGCAAGTAATTTGTTCAGTAATTATAATTATTCTAAAATATGATAATGTAAGGAATTATTATAAATAAATTAATTCTTAATATAAGTAATTAAATAATATAAATTTTAAAAAAGAAATAAAGGTGTAAATAGAACGATAATAATATATAGAAATACAAATGTAACAAATGAAAATTAAAATGTCAATTGTTTAAGAATCAAACTTTTACAAATACAATAAATTTGTAACAGTTGAATGTTTATATTCTCAACGTCAGTTATTATTCTAGTTTGCATTCTGCACACAGTTCTCAGGAAGGCGAAAAAAGTTTAGGTACGATAACGACGAAATTGGCGCATGTAGAGTAACACTTCAGATGCTCAGGAAACAGAAAATCGCAAAAACAAAATCATAGCGGTTCATTTACAGGAAATATTTGCAATTGTGTCAGTTTTATTGACAATTTTTTATTTATCACATATTATAATAAGTGTGACATGTATACACAGAAAAAACTTAGTCTCAAAATGAGTAGCGTACGATACTCAAAATGAGTTGCAACAAAAATGAGACCAAGTTTTTTCTGTGATATATATATATATATTTCTTTTTTATTTATAGACTCGTCTTTTGCCTTAATACTAGCGTTACAAGTATCCCTGTGGAATTTTCTTACATACTAACTTATACTAAATTTTTGCGCCTACAGAACGACTTTGAAAATTAGGAGTACTAACATTTGCCTGGACCACCCGTCTAATTGTCTTTCTCGTCAATCGAGAGGGAAACTGAAGAAAACCTCTCCGATGAGTACAATCGGTTTATCGACAGTCGAGTTCTAATGGTGTGTACCGGACAATAATCGACAGTGCACATCATTATACCTCCACGTCAAACCCCCCTCTCAAATTATCACGTGCCGAAAAATCTAACGCTAATGGGCGCGAACCAAGTACCCTTGGTCCTGAAGCGTCCGCCGAGCGAGGCATTTATCCGCCCGAGCTAATCTGTCGGTGCGTGACATGTATACATTATGATCAAAAGATCATAATAATATCCATTCACTAATCTATCAATAAAGTGAATTTTATAAATTATACATTTTTAGTGCATCCGCTATTAAAAAACACGTGTATATATACACAGCATAAAACATCAAATTAAAGAATAATAAACAAAGTAACGTTCGCTTTATAACTAATAACAATACAACAATATTCACAAAAAGATGAAGTTTTTCTTTTACAAGCTTTATGCTTTTTTAAAGATAAAGCATGCGTTTTTGATTTAAAAAACTATTACAGCAACTTCCTAGTATCCTGAACTACTACACTAGAACTCCCAAGAGAGTCACTCGCAAAGTCTTATGTGACTCTTTTAGAGAGTGACTTTCACCATTCAAAAATGTAAACATTAAGAGCCGTAGAGTCGATGGAAATAAGAATATTTGTACGTCCGCATGAAAAGAGCCCATTCAATCTATTTATATACATACATGGATATTTTGTTTATTTTTTACAATTTTATATTATAAATTAAATAAATTTTATCAATATGAATAGAAATATTCACATATTAACTAATTTTGTTCAATTTTTTCTAAAGATATAAATACCCAGGTGCGATTTTTTGGTCGGCCCATAGTTGGACCAACTTTTACAAAGTCGGTCCAACTTCTCGTGCCAGAGGTTGGGCCAACCATACAGATGATAACGGTTCGCCGTCTAATGGCGACGATGGTTGGCCCGACAACTCATAAGGAAGTTGGCCCAACTTACAATGCATATGTTGTGCCAACTATACATTTCAATGGTTGGTCCAAAGACTGACGCCAAAGTTGGCACAACTTTAGATGCGTAAGTTGGGCCAACCACAATTTTCAAAGTTTGGCCAACTTCAACAGCCAAAGGTAAAAAATTATTAAAAAACTAAATTATTTAAACAATTAACAGGTTATTATTAGCGGGAACATCAGATATAACCTTTACCTATTATTATTAAACACAATCTCATACATACATTTTCGAAAATATCTAACGCTCGCTGGGA